CACTTCCTTTCTTCTTGGCACGATCAAGACGAGTAGGATTAATATGCCTGGCGGGACGGATTCTGCGCGCCCAAGCAGGCGCTGCGTAGCGCCCTTTCCAAAGAAGGTGCTCTTATAAGGGCCCTATCAAGCTACAACATACCGACCCGAACGCCCACCACGCCCGCCCGCCCACAAATGGACGACCGTTCCTGACGCTCGTATTGATTCATTTGCTAAGCAAATTATGAAGTGAAGGGATTGGTATGAAGCGGCCGCGGTGCTGCATGGATATATGAGTACACACATGCAGCCGTATCTTCGGTAGCGGTTATTGGCAAGATGCCTATGGGGAAACTCGTCCGAAATTGATTTTTAAGTCATTGAGAACGAAGGCTTTTTCTTCGCAAAATTTTGACCGTTTCACTCCGTTCTTTCGCCATTTCCCCACTATAGCGCCCTGCTAGCATTTTAGGTCGAGTACCAAATTATTGCGCCAAAAGCCTTTAACTCAGTCATGTTAGGAGAAAATTGAGTTTTTTTTTAAATGGTGGTGCATTCCATCGGGGGCATTGCCGCTTTTGCAGTTTCTACTCTCTCACACGGCTCTTTGAACTATGCGTCTTGGTTTTTTCGAAAGGCTGTGTCGTATACAGATAAGCGGCGATGATGCCTTATCATCGGAGAGCCCTAAAGAGCATGCATGTATTGAACTAGGGGTGGGCATATCAAGGCGGCTGACGGTAGGGGGTCGGCGATCAATGGGGTATGTGAATAGTGGGGGAAAATGCCAGGTCCATATGCTACTTGACTTTGAAGGGAAACTGTGCACTCACCTCCGCGACGGTCTGCGAGAAGATTGGGTCACAGCTCTACTAGCGTGACACTTTGGTCACTCGAAAGTCGGTGCTGTAAGGTAGGGCACACGAGTGCCTTCCCTATACCGCCCGTGCTAACTTCAAAGTACAGTGCTTGCATTGATAACGCCGTCCCGTAGCGAAACACGTAGCAGCGGCAGAGAACGATCGAAAACTACGAACGAAGTGAGAGAGCGCAGATAAATAGCGTGTTTAGCCATAGCTAGGAGTGTGGCTAGCTGCTCGATTGGAGTATGGAAACGCCACCCGAGTATCACTCACTCCAGTCCTTTCCCGTGTACTTTCGATCGTAGAAAGTGGCTCGCTGTTGCAGCTGCGGACCTGTTTACCTAACACGTGGCAAGAGCCGGAATCGATGGAGTTAAGTTTACAGTCTGTCTTTAAGAAGGTAGTAGAGATGAAAAATAATTTAGGATCCACTCGAACGCACGACTGTGCTGCATCT